CTCAAACCGCTCGAGTTTTCCCATGGACGGTGGTCAGTGTATGCATATATGTGTATGTGAGATCTGAGATGAGCACGCATGCTTCGAAATGGCTGTCTCCTCAGGTTTGTGTTGTGGTACCGAGGTCCTGCCGCTTCTGTTGAGCTTGTGTCTCTCGCCTGCCAGGTGCCCTGCCAACTGCAAAGCAGGAAGGTTCCATCAGCAGCACAAGGTCTCCGTGTAGCAGCTGCAGTTGTTGGCTTGCCATGCCATGGCCCGTTCCTGGAGCTTGCGCAGTGTGTTGCATCTCCATCACGGATCCTCTATGATGCTTGGGCGTGTGGCCTTCATCCTGTGTGGCAAGGGTTGTGGCGGCTTCAGCAAATCTGCCATGGCAGAAGTTGACCTGTCCCGAAGCCATCGAACCGATGTCTCAGCACGGGGGCATGCTGGGGCAGAAGCGTCGGCTGCCGGGTGGAACAGAAGAGATGCAGGGAGCTTCACAAATAGGTTTTTGCCTGCAGATTCGCGCCTTGTGAAAAGGCACGGCTACATCCAACTGCTGCGTCGCCGTTTTGGCCAGCACGGACCATTTCTGTAAACGTCCACCGTCTTCGGCCATGTCCCACGGCAAGGCTGTCGAGACATATGGAGAACCGAAGGAACAGATTACATTGCTTAAGAAGGCAAGAGCTTGCACCATCAGTTGGTCTCCATGCTGTGCTATGCACGCTGCTGCTGTGAGGCTGGCACAGGTTGCAGCCGTACGGACCAGGTTCGCTGTTTGAACCGTTTTCTCCTGGATAGATTTGATGCGGCAGACTCCTCCATCGCGGGCCAGTTGATCGTGCCTTCATGGCATCACCTTGAGGCCTGACAGCCAAGGTAGCGTGTCCGGTTGTGCAGACAGCAAAGCCCGAGCTCAACCCGGCCAAGTAACTCCCTTGACCGTGATATGCTTGTGTATCTGTGTGTAAGCTGAGCAAGTGTGCTTCGAAATGGCTGTTTCCTCAGAGACAAGAGCAGATTTGTGTTGTGGTACCGAGGTCGCGCCGCTTGAGTTGGGCTTTTGTCTCTCGCCTGCCATGCACGCCCTGCTAATTGTGAGGCAGGAATGCTGCAGAGCCTAACAGGACCGAGTCTCCATCTAGCAGTCGCCGTTCTTGACTGATACTTCCCTGAATCGTTGCAGTAGCTGGAGCTGCACATTGCTTCTCCGTCTCGGTGCCTTTGTGATTCTGGGGCGCACGACTTCCGTGATGTGGGGGCAAGGATTGCGGCGGCTTGCGCAAACCTGCCGGGGCAGAAGTTCAGCTGTCCTAACACTGCCAGCGCTGTCACGTTGAACACCGGAGATGCAGGACGCCCACAAACATGCTTGCAGACCTGTGCTTTGTAATGCTCTGAGAAGGCATTGCTACAGCAAGCCGTTCTGCTTCCATTTTTGTTGCAGTTCATGCGATTGATGCTGAGTTTCACCAGTCCGTCGTAAACTGCTTGTTTCTGGAGCTGGCGCAGTACGTTTCCTGGAATACCACTGATCTGAGGTACGTGATCTTGCGCTTTCGATGCCGAGCATCCCGATCCAGCACCTTGTCCACCATCCATGCATGGGGGAGGGCTGCTGCCACACTGGTGCCATGGCAACCGCTCCTGTCAGTGGCACCTTCCCCGCAGGGAAGGTCCGCATTCACAGGACACTGGCCAATGCGGGCCATTGCTCTAACCGTCTATCTGCGCAAGATGCAGCCAGGTCGCATGGCAAGGCCATAGAGTAGAGAATACAGGGGAAGGATTACATTGCTTCCGCAAGTCAGGTTGTTGCACCACCAGTTGCTCCGCATGCTGTTCTATCTGCGAGCCTAGATTGGTAACCTGCGCACTGCTGCTGTGAGGCTGGGACATCGTTACAGCCGTACGGACCAGATTCGCTCCGTGCTCCGGTTGCCTCCTGGCTACATTTTGCCGAGCATCTGCACCTCACCTCCGCTGCAAACTCCTCCATCACGGGCCATTTGATGGTGCCTTAGTGGCGTCACCTTGAGGCGTGACAGTTAAGGTAGCGAGTCCGGTTGTGCAGACAGCAAAGCCCGAGCTCAACCCGGCCAAGTAACTCCCTTGACCGTGATGTGCTTGTGCATCTGTGTATGAGCTGAGCAAGTGTGCTTCGAAATGGCTGTCTCCTCAGAGACACGAGCAGATTTGTGCTGTGGTACCGAGCTCGTGCCGCTTCAGTTGAGCTTTTTATCTCTCGCCTGCCATGCGACCTGCTAATTGTGAGGCAGGAATGCTGCAGTGCCTAACAGGACCGAGTCTCCATCTAGCAGTCGCCGTTCTTGACTGATACTTCCCTGAATCGTTGCAGTAACTGGCGCTGCGTGTTGCTTCTCCGTCTTGGTGCCTTTGTGATTCTTGGGTGTGGCTTTCCTCCTGTGGGGGCAAGGGTTGCGGCGGCTTGGGCAAACCTGCCGGGGCAGAAGTTCAGCCGTCCCAAAGCCATCCAGCCAAGTCTCAGCACGGGGGTATGCTGGGGCGGAAGCGTCCGCTGCCGCGTGGAACAGAAGATATTCAGATATGCAGGAAGCTTCACAAATAGGTTTTTGCCTGCAGATTCGCGCCTTGTGAAAAGGCACGGCTACATCCAACTGCTGCGTCGCCGTTTTGGCCAGCACGGACCATTTCTGTAAACGTCCACCGTCTTCGGCCATGTCCCACGGCAAGGCCGTCGAGACATATGGAGACCCGAAGGAACCGATTGCATTGCTTAAGAAGGCAAGAGCTTGCACCATCAGTTGGTCTCCATGCTGTGCTATGCAGGCTGCTGCTGTGAGGCTGGCACAGGTTGCAGCCGTACGGACCAGGTTCGCTGTTTGAACCGTTTTCTCCTGGATAGATTTGATGCGGCAGACTCCTCCATCGCGGGCCAGTTGATCGTGCCTTCATGGCATCACCTTGAGGCCTGACAGCCAAGGTAGCGTGTCCGGTTGTGCAGACAGCAAAGCCCGAGCTCAACCCGGCCAAGTAACTCCCTTGACCGTGATATGCTTGTGTATCTGTGTGTAAGCTGAGCAAGTGTGCTTCGAAATGGCTGTTTCCTCAGAGACAAGAGCAGATTTGTGTTGTGGTACCGAGGTCCTGCCGCTTCTGTTGAGCTTGTGTCTCTCGCCTGCCAGGTGCCCCGCCAACTACAAAGCAGGAAGGTTCCATCAGCAGCACAAGGTCTCCGTGTAGCAGCTGCAGTTGTTGGCTTGCCATGCCATGGCCCGTTCCTGGAGCTTGCGCAGTGTGTTGCATCTCCATCACGGATCCTCTATGATGCTTGGGCGTGTGGCCTTCATCCTGTGTGGCAAGGGTTGTGGCGGCTTCAGCAAATCTGCCATGGCAGAAGTTGACCTGTCCCGAAGCCATCGAACCGATGTCTCAGCACGGGGGCATGCTGGGGCGGGGACCACCACTGCCGTGCCGAACAGAAAAGTTGCAGGGACCCCCACGACCACACTTGCGGACCTGTGCTTTGTAGGAAGGCATGGCTCCAGCAAACCGCTCTGTCGCCGTTCTTGTTGCAGTTCTTGCGATGGAATGGGTCCCGCCAGTAAATTGAGCGTATTTCTGGAGCTGGCGGAGTCCGTTTCCTGGTGTTCCAGTGATCTGAAGTACGTGACCTTTCGCCTTGGATGCCGAGCATCCCGAGCCAGCACGACGGCCAGCACCTTGTCCACCATCCATACACGCGGCCCTTGAGGGGGAGGGCTGCTGCCACACTGGTGCTATGGCAACCGCTCCTGTCAGTGGCACCTTCCCCGCAGGGAAGGTCCGCATTCACAGGACACTGGCCAATGCGGGCCATTGCTCTAACCGTCTATCTGCGCAAGATGCAGCCAGGTCGCATGGCAAGGCCATAGAGTAGAGAATACAGGGGAAGGATTACATTGCTTCCGCAAGTCAGGTTGTTGCACCACCAGTTGCTCCGCATGCTGTTCTATCTGCGAGCCTAGATTGGTAACCTGCGCACTGCTGCTGTGAGGCTGGGACATCGTTACAGCCGTACGGACCAGATTCGCTCCGTGCTCCGGCTGCCTCCTAGCTACATTTTGCCGAGCATCTGCACCTCACCTCTGCTGCAAACTCCTCCATCACGGGCCATTTGATGGTGCCTTCGTGGCGTCACCTTGAGGCGTACCAGTTAAGGTAGCGAGTCCGGTTGTGCAGACAGCAAAGCCCGAGCTCAACCCGGCCAAGTAACTCCCTTGACCGTGATATGCTTGTGCATCTGTGTGTGAGCTGAGCAAGTGTGCTTCGAAATGGCTGTCTCCTCAGAGACAAGAGCAGGTTTGTGCTGTGGTACCGAGCTCGTGCCGCTTCAGTTGAGCTTTTGTCTCTCGCCTGCCATGTGCCCCGCCAAATGTGAGGCAGGAATGCTGCAGTGCCTAACAGGACCGGGTCTCCATCTAGCAGTCGCCGTTCTTGACTGATACTTCCCTGAATCGTTGCAGTAACTGGCGCTGCGTGTTGCTTCTCCGTCTTGGTGCCTTTGTGATTCTTGGGCGTGTGGCTTTCCTCCTGTGGGGGCAAGGGTTGCGGCGGCTTGGGCAAACCTGCCGGGGCAGAAGTTCAGCCGTCCCAAAGCCATCCAGCCAAGTCTCAGCACGGGGGCATGCTGGGGCGGAAGCGTCCGCTGCCGCGTGGAACAGAAGATGTTCAGATATGCAGGGAGCTAAATAGGTTTTTGCCTGCAGATTCGCGCCTTGTGAAAAGGCACGGCTACATCCAACTGCTGCGTCGCCGTTTTGGCCAGCACGGACCATTTCTGTAAACGTCCACCGTCTTCGGCCATGTCCCACGGCAAGGCCGTCGAGACATATGGAGACCCGAAGGAAAGGACTGCATTGCTTCCACAAGTCAGGTCTTGGTGATCTTTCTTTTCCTGCGAGCAAATGTTTCTGGTGCTTGTCAGTCATTGCAACGTGATGCAGCCCCAATGCTCCAGATGTTCTGACCTGCTTATCCTGCCTGCAGCCTGGTTACAGCACTGCACTTACAAGCATTGCAACTGCTGCCCTCGGGCTGCCGTGCACCAAAATCCAAGTTTGTCTCAAAGCGCCCTGCAGAGCTGTAGCTGTGGCTTTGGAGCTACATCCTCGCATTGGCAGCAGTATTGCCAGCTGAGGACTCTTCCGACCGGAGCGCAGCATCGCAACGGGTCCATGATGCTCCAAACCGAAGCCATCCATAGATTCCAAGCGACTGCGTTTACCTTTCATGTACGCTTCCTTGCGGCCGGCCCGTGTCTCGAAGGCAGGAGACATTTCCAGAACCTTGAAGCTAGAAAGTTGTTGAACCGTGGCAATCAAAGGACAGAAGGCGAGTGGCCCCTTGCGGCCGTTAGTGCAGTGGACAGTTTTGCTCGGGGCTGCGTGCAGCTTCTTGGAGCCACCGCTGGACGCTTCGGTGCAGCTCAGCTTTCCTGGGCAGGAGCGGCACATTTTCAAGCGAGGACAGTCTGAGAATGATCGCTCGGGGCATCTGCACACCAAGGTGGTACCAGTACTTGCATGTTCTGGCCTGGGTCTACAAATCGGCCAAGTTGGCAGGGAGGGGAGGCGGTCAGGCTTTGTGGCAGAATGGCTGAAGGTCAATTAGAAAGTTTGACATGCGAGCAGTGCGAGCAGCCGCTGTAGACTCCATGTGCCACCAGCCTGCTTTTTTCGAGGGGTCTGTCAGAGCAATGCAGTTACGGTGTTTGCTGCTGGATGTGCCGGAGGGTAGAGCCTCACCTTTCAATTCACCTTCACGGGCGCACTCCGCCTGATTCGACATGCGCTTGTCGACCTTGGCCCCTGCTTACAGAGGCGCGTTGGTGAGCCTGGTAGTTGCTAGCGTGCAGTACATCAGCGAGCCTGGGTCGTTGATGCCGCACAATACTTAGTGGTTCTCTCGTCGGAGGTGCACCTTTCCCAGCTGAACACAGCCGAGGCAGCCCGTCACGTCGCTGAGGCCGACGCGTGCTGATGCCAGTCTCGCAGATCCGCTTGCTGCCACATGTGTTGCGTGCGGTGTGATCATTCCTTTGCCATCATCGTTCGTTCCGCGCGTCAGTTTGGGATTTAGGGAGAAAGTCCCGGAGAGAGCCATCAGCCACAGTGTGCCTGTGGCTCCGAGTTCCAGGTGATGTGTCGAGAGCTCGGTGTCATTTCGTCGGCAGCGGCAGGCTGCGATGGAAGGCTTCTTTCTCCACAGACCGCATGGTCTTGCACGACCCGGTTTGTAATTCAAAGTGAGATGTGTGCATCGGTAGACGACTGTAGAGCCAAGTTAGCAAGGCCCATGCAGGGGGTCAGACTGTCCAAGAATATCTCGGCTTTGTCGTGGCTGGAATATCTCCTTGAACGGATGGTGCCCAACCAGGCGTCTTGCTTGCCGAATGCCTACTTTGTTGGCTTCCGCATGGTGCCTGTGGTGGCGCTGGCTGCATGCAGCGCTGGCACAGATGTGCGCCGCAAGCAGGAGCCGGAATCGATTGGCGACCGAGAGATAATGGTGTTCTCTCCATGTTTGAAACTCACGGCTGTTGCGCACACTAGCCGGCAGTGACTATATCCGCGGTATCCACACTTGTGACCGGGCTCCTGGCTGAGCTGGCGCTAGGTGGCAGGCTTCTGCATCGGGGAGGTCGTTGCATGTTTGCAGATGCTGCTTCCGCGGTAACAGCCGCAAGGAGCGTCATGAGCACCAAGGTGTCGGAAGATGCTCTCCGCGCTTCCGCTTGGTTTCTTGTGCTTTTCATTGTTGTTCAGAGCAAGGCAAAAAATCATAATCCCAACGCAGGCAATGAGCACATAACCTCGCTGGGCTTCTACCACTTGCACTCGGGAAGACACTGTAAACCCTGCGGCCTCGCAAATCGAGTCGATAGGTTGGTGTCCTCGCCCGTCGAGACCTCAAAACGGGTTGCGCCTGACTGCGCACCATGAAGATATGGGATTGTGGAGCAGCCTTCCTGTAAGACCCACAAATCGGCATTCCCGAGGTACCGCGGGAGGTCTGGTGTTTGAGGCCCGTGCCAGATGTCTCAAGCTAAGCCAACTGTCTTCCACTCAGGCTTGCAAGCCGAAGCTGGCGCCTGCGCTGTGACAAGCTGGTGCCCGGCCGCAGATACCGCAGCATCCGTAGCCTCGGTGGGGATGCTTCTGCCAAATCCCTGAAACCACGTCGCCAGACCACGCCCTGCTTGTGCATCTGTTGCCCTTCTATGGGGCACTGAGATGAACCTCATCGCCTCCCCTGTTCTGGAGTCTAGTTCTTTGCGTGCAAGGTGCACCTCTGGCTTGCTGGCAATCCCAAAAGGGAAATAGTGCATAATGCACTCGGCAGTCTGAAATCCGGCCCAGATAGGCCTAGGCATTCGGAGAGATGTTTAGCCTGCACGCTACTGAGCCAGCACCTTGTTGGTGCCGACGCACCCTAGTAGCTTAGTCACCCGGCTTGCAAGGTCTGAGTCTAGGTGTAAATCGTTGCACTGCGACCGTTCTTCAAGCACTGCAGTAGGGCAGCACGAGCATCGCACCCTTTGACGGCTTGTGTGGCAGGGCAGCCAGATGGTGCAGCACTGGGGTCAAGGGCACTTGTCCACTCCAGCCGTCCTGAGCGCTTCTCAAGCTCGAACATGCACGCTGAGAACCGTTCGGCAGGTTTCAACATCTATCCATTCTTTGCAGTTTTAGCAGTGGCGGTGTCCCCAGTGAGGGTACGGACTTTGGTGGCAACATCTGCGACTAGAAAATGGGGCTGCGAGTGCTTTCGCGGGGCACGGCATTCAGCATGGGACATGAGCCACTGAGAGAGCGCAACTTCCTAAGACTCTCTTGCTTGTTCTCTCTCTCTCTCTCTGTTGTTTTCTCCGTTGGAAGCCTTTGTTCAGCAATAGTCACCATGCCCAAAACCAGGAAGGATCAAACATCTTTGAGCACTTCACCAGAACGGCTTATGGGCTCTACAATCGGGGACTGGGAATGAGGCAGTCTGGAGGGCGAGAGCGTCGTTTAAGCTTCGAAACAGCAGCAGGCGCTGCGGGAATCTCATATCCTCAAACTTTCGGCTCAGATGCCGTGTTGTCACCTCAGCTTGACGAGCTCTTGCGCACTAGCCCACTAGCCGTCACTAGCCCTCTAGACACAGCTGGTAGCTTGCAATGCCATGCATCTTCGCCTGTTTGTAAAGCTTTATCGCACTCAAGCTCCGACCAGAGTCTCGCTTATGAGATGCTGAAGCTGGGTTTCATGCCGAAGATGCGGGCCCGCTTGAAGGCTGCTGGCGCTGGCTGGGCATGCTGGCAGGCATGGGCTTGAGCTCATGAACAGACTACCCAAGCGGAGTCTTGGTGCCTTTGGGCCAAAACTTAACATGACTATTAGACAATGCACTGTGTTGCTGATTTGTGTGGGGCGGGGGCGTCCCGTTTTCGCCCCTACTCGCTGCATCCTCGCTGACCGCTAGGAGCAGGAAGAGTAACATCCAGACAAATCGGCCAAAACCAAAACGCACTGTAGAGGATGCCCCAACGAAAACGAGTCTAGAAGACACCCTCCCGTTCAAAATACTAAACCCTCCTGGCCCCCCAAACCCTACCTTTGGTTAGTAGAGAATGGAGGAATGGGTACAATTATAACTACTATTACTACCAGTCTTCCATTCCCTAGTAACCAAAGGTAAGAAACCCTCCAACAGGCTGCCGCCCCTTGCGGCGCGCCTGCGGGACGTGGAGCCCAGGCTCCCGGGGATGGCGCCCACCTCCGCCACCGAGACCATGGCAAGGTGGGGCCGTGGCTGCAGGTCTCAGAAGAGTCTTACATAGAAGGGTGAACAGGACTTTCAATGAATGCATCATGGCATTTCCTTAAGAGCTCCATAAAGCTTCTGTCTGCTACAATATTATTCGAAACAGAGCTATATAAGGGTCCTAAACAGGTTCTGAGTCTGTCAGAAGTTGGTAAATAAAGGCCTATACAAAGATGTTCTAAAAGATCTCTGCAAGACTTCTATATAGAGAGCGGTCGACTGTGGGGCCTGGGTTTGGTTTCAGTGCTTTTTATCGGGTTTCAACGTTAATGGCTCCAAAGCAGGAGCTTGTGTTTTGTGTCCCGTAAAGCACATACCACAAAGCAAGCATCACAAGTGTTTTTCGGAACAGCTTATTCGAGCTGTGCAAAATCGCTCTCCAACAGGCTCCACACCAGTGTGTAGGTCGAGCCTCTTAATCTGGGTTCTTGTGTAGCAGATCTTACAAGCAGAAAACGCTGTAAATATCGATGAATTCAAGACTCTCTAAAGAACGTCTTAAGGTAGGCTACATAAGCTCGACAATTTCTCTATGCAGCTCTGATAATCGGGCCTTTAAGACTCTGGACTGTCTACCCAAAGCAAGCTTAGCCAACACCGCTGTTGGTAACAGTGTTTGAAACACCAATGTAGAGATTCAGCCTAATTAGCTGTCGAATTGCATTGGCATAGGGTTAACGAAATGTGGATGCACATAAGGGCCCTTGTTTTTGCGCGGTGAAGCAAAGTAAAGATGTGAGCGGGTTCAGCCTATGTACCTGTATAAAAGACTACCAAAGACAAACTGAAACGATGAAGATCTGGCTGCTGTCCTAGACTGGAATCCTACTCGTGTTGATGCTTATCCGATTCTGGCTTCTTCCGATACCCTTGTTCATAAGGTACCCCGTACCCCTTCGAAATAGCCAGTATTTGGATCAAAATCATTTGGATTAGTGAAAAATGCTGCACTGGATACCGGGTCGGTTCCAAGCCATAACGGATCGTCCTTCTATAGTTCCTCAAACCGGTTTGGTCCAGGCCGTAGCACGCTCTCCATCCCTACACATAGCCTTACAAGAGATTTTGTATAGTTGAAATACTAAACACAAACATCTCGTGGTTTCACTCGATGAGCCTGGACGTATCAGCCGCACGCTGCTGCAGTGCGTTTATCTCTGTATACACAAAAGAGAAACACACGGGCCCGTTATTGTTGCGCTGAAACGACCCACATGTTTACAAACAGCCCGCAAGTTTATAGCAAGGCCCGGTATTTATAAACAACCCGTGAAAGTGTTCATAGAAGGACAAGCAGAAATCACCGCAAATACCAGTGTTTATTGATTTCAATTTATCCAACCAGGTCTTGGGGTATCTCACATTAACTCCACACTTTCCTCCACTAAGAAAAGTTTTGTGACCAGCACTTAAGACTTGAGGGTTGGCGTCAATTGGGAATGGCTGCGCGCGTCTCGGGCGGATGGTGGATTGGTCGGCGGTTGTACCTTGTGGTGAACGTGCTGGTGGTGAGGGGGGGGGAAGGGGGGGGGGTGGCAGGTGTTGGATGTTGGCCGCATCATACCAAGACCTGGCGCCCCCCACCCCCCCGCTTCCTCGAGCGAAGCGTTTGTTTATAAACAGCCCCTGTGTTTATAAACAGCCGTCGTGTTTATAAACACAGTAAATGAAAACTAAAACAAATTTAACAAACCAACACACCACGACAAGAGTCCATGACAAGAATCTTTGACAAGTAAGCATCACGAGCCCGATCCGAAGGCATACGTAACTTCAAAAACTCCTTATACACAAACGCAGGCCCCAGGATCGACCCTTCTGTCTATATAGGGGTTCTGCATATGCGTCTGCGGCCTGAGATAATCACTTGCCTGCTCTGGCGGAGCCCGGCGATTTCGGAAGGAAGTCCCGGGTTGCGGGTTACAGTTGATTGCGGCTTCAGGGGATTAGGACTTGGGTTCCAAGTGCAGTCTATCATTCCGGACAAGCTTTGCCGATTGGTCTAAAGCTCCCATCTAAGGGCTTTTGTTCACGATGTTCGGCTCCGAAGGTGTGGATACACCTCGGAAAGGTACTGATCAAGTAGGGCAGAGAAGAAAGTGAGACATGACGCGGTGGTGAAATCAGTCTTTAAACATGTTGAAACTCTCCGCAATAGCGAGGGATCCGGAGTGCACGCTAGTCGAAGATTTCAGTTGAATGACCTATGCCTCCAGAGCCAATCACCTCAATCAAGAAATTGTGAAAACATCGCTTGGGCTGGCGGGGGGTGCTGATGTATAGCACATTTTTCCAAGTGATATGCCCGAAGCCGGAAGCCGGCTCTCAGCACAGGCAACCACTTGGCACCCTCGCTGACCGCGCAACTCTTGGAGAAGGAGTCAGGGAGAATGAATGCAAAGAGTACTCATAGCAGCAGCCATGAAATCGATGATGCTGACATCGCCGTTGTACCGCTAGGGGGAGGCCACAACGGCAGCAGCAGTAAGCAAGAACAGCACTAACAACAAGGGTGGCGGCAACAGCAACAGCAAAAGTCGACGGCGACAACCAGAGAAAGCACAACAGCCACAAGCAGACTAGACCACCGCCAAGGCCACGAGCTGCACAAAAAACAACCAGAACGCCACCGCAACAGCAGTAGCAGCAGCAGCAAGACTAAAAGCGTTAGTGGCGGAGGTGTTAGCGGCTAGTTGAGGTTTCAATTTTCAGGGATGGGCTGCTGGGTTTCGAGCACCGGACAGGACGAAGAGTTGAAGCCAACCGAGGTGGGCATTGATCGGAGTCGCAGTTTCTGCATCAAGACGTTAAGCCTGTACGACCACATCTCTCTCTCTCTCTCTCTCTCTCTCTCTCTCTCTCTCTCTCTCTGCATGTAGTATGTATATGTATGTATGATCTGTATGATGTATATGTATTATGTATTATTGCTTGGCAGGAACAGTACAAGCTGAAGGCTTGGCTGGTGGTGGCCTCAGGAATTCAGATTTGTGTCGCGTCGGGCTCCATTGTGCTTCAACGTAAGGAGACAAGCTTGAAGCCTCTGCTGGAGACGCACAGTGGTGGCACTTTCCACACCTTCGGTTCCTGCGAGGGTCTCGGTTACCGCAGCTCTTGCAAAGACGACTTCCAAATCAAAAACAGTATCTTTTCAGCATGGGATCGGGACTACAGTCTATACTAGCGAAGGGTATCAAAAGCAGTCGCCTGTGCGTGCCCCTCACGGAACCAAGATTGCTGACTTCAATGGCTACATGGCCTACTGCAGGTGAAAATGGCTTCTGGATGAATGGAACCCACCGGCATGTTTGATCAACTGGCGGCTCTTGGTTGTGTAACGCCGAAACACAAGGTAACATCTAAGCCCACTTGCTTCCTCTCCCACAAACAAGAGCTAACCAACCCTAGACCTTGAATGTGCCATCGCGCAGAGGAAGCGACGTGGACGCCTGTTTGGTGATCCCCAAATGTGCACGCAAGCCAGGAACCCAGCACAGCTCGATGCCGATGCCGTAGACTATCACAGTATTCACAGTATAGTACTGCATCACTATTGCTTTCGAACGCAATGGCTTCAGCATGTCGTCTGATATGATGACACAGCTTGATACAGTACGTAATCCCTTAATAAAACCACCCCAAACATAAAGAATGATTTTGGGCCTTCCATTTTCAACATTAAGGGGATTTCGGTTGGTTTTTGGATGTTTTAGGCCTGATTTCTACTCCCAAGCAAGGGTACGCGTCTAACGAAAAGCCTGGGATCGCTTTCCCAGGCAGGCTAGGCGGATTTGAGACAGCCGTGCACTCCAGTCAATGACCTCCGGGCCTGGCGCAACCCCCAATCCGCACCCAATCCCCACCCCGCTGCCGAGCCTGGGAGTTGGGAGGAGTACATTGCTGTCTCGAATCCTCCTATCCTGGGAGGGTGATCCCACTATTGGGCTCATACCTCTGCCTGGGAGAGCAAACTTCCAGACGGCAAAAGCCTTGAAATTCCCACATGCGGACTCCCTCGGACGCCATGTTCCTGCTCCAAATGTCTGCGTTCCAATTCCGGAAACGTGCCCTAGCCTGGTAGTTCCAATCGCATCATGCCGATCCTACCTGGGTCCTAAGTCAACATGCTTTTAAGCCTGTGTGTGTATACTGTGTACGTACATACATACATACATACGTACATGCGTAATGCAGGCACACAACTGTGCGTGCGTATGTGTGCATGTATGTATGTATGTATGTATGTATGTATGTATGTATGTACGCATGCATTGTATGCATGTGCGTGTGTACATCTGTTTGCTGTCGCCGCTTATGTCTGATGTTTCTGTTCACACTTCTATGTATCTTTAGCATTCCCCATATTTATTTGTTTGTACACATACTCATATACAGTCACATGCATTCACGCACGCTAGCTTGTATGACCTGATGTGCTTGTTTACTTGTATAGTCGTTAAGTTATTCGGTTCATGTACATATGTATGCACACACACATGTCCACATCTCAAACAAGTGTATATGCAGGCATGTCCATATACATATATACATATGCTCATATATATATATATATATATACATGTTTAAAGTTACTTGTATTTCTACCTTTCCGGATATTGCAACGAAAGTCGCACGTTTGTTCATTATATGTACGCGTATGCCGGCAGAGAGACTGAGTGAGTGAGCCCGTGGGTTATTCTACATTCTACATTCTCAGCCAAACCCTGACAGAGTGAAGTGTGAGGATTTCCTGGTTGACGAAGCTGCGTCCGCCCCAGAAATCTTAACAACTGCGCAGATGAGCTTGCAGCCAGATAGGACTACAGGTGGGGGTTAGGGTTGGGGCTTCGACTTTCGGGATCTTTAGGACTTTAGCAGGATTAAATTGATACCCCGTGAGTGCGAGCAGGCGACGGCGAATAGCAGTGGCTCCTTGGGAAAACTTTACAAGAGCTACAGAGCGTGAGAACGCAGCAGCCGTAGCAGCGGCAGTAGGCAATCATCAACCATTGCAAGGAACCCAGGGCCGCAACCGTGACATGTGCAGCACCACGCTGTTGCTGCTAAGGCAGCATTAACAACCCAACAAAAATGCGTGTCGTCAAGGATCTTTGATGATTTCTATGCCTTCTATGCAATGTTAAGCCTCGGCAGCTGTAGCTACCTCTGAGGCGGCTGGTTCAAAGCCTGGTCATCTGCGAGAAGTTCTGCTGGCTGGTTCTGCGTGTCAGACACAGGGCGATCCCGAATGCTGCTGAAGTAATGTGGCTGTGGATGTTGGTCGATGAGACCAGAGATTTAGTATAGACCCTCGACAATGGGATATCTCGTCGGGAACCCACTGGTTTCACAAAGGAAACAGCTTCAGTTGACAGGGCGCGCAGGATGTCTAGGAATCAGGTTGAGGCCTTGATGCCGCAGGTACCTCTGGATAAGCGACGGAGGGCGTGAGCTTTCTAGGGCAGCGGCCAAGGGTTGTATATAAGTAGGGCAGTGTCGGGGTGAGGCCTGCTCCACTCGACTCTGCTTCATTCCACTCCGCTCTACTTTGCTATACTCTGCCAGGACACTGGTCTGCACCATACTGCTTGGCACTTTTCCCCGAATCGTGACGGTGCCAGGATGGGCAGCGTGGAACTCGTCGGCGCAGCTCGGGTTCCTGTGCCCGCCTCAGGGGGTTCAGGAGGAGATCGGGTACTTCGGGAAGTAGGGTTGAGAGTCTAGGGCTTCAGACTAATTGGGGTTTAGGGTTGGCGAAAGAAAATAAGTTAAGGTTTAAGATTTGGAATCTAGGGCTTCGGGATTGAGGATTTAGGGTTTAGGGTTGAGGGTTTGAGCCTTGGATGCAGGGTCGAGGAGGTCAAAAGGGTTCAGGATTCAGAGCTGAGTGCAACTAAGACCCTGAGGAGGGTTTTTGGCGGTCTTCTGCGCTTTGGAAGATGGAACGCATTGTGGTTGAGGATGCTGCTCTGGCTACGTAACGCTATGGCTGTACCATTCAGATGACTGTGACCGTGTTGCTAGGTGGCAAAGATCCGGAACTCCGAAGGCACATTGGCTGCCGGCTGGCGATGAGGTTTCTTTCTTTTTCGGCCTTTGCCAGGAGACGACCTGTGTGATGTGTCGATCAACAACGTCGCCTTCCAAGTGCAGTTGAACAGAACAGCCAGGAAGTGGAAGCGGGGGGTTGGCTTGGAAACTCTGGAGGTCGCAGCGCTTGAGAACTCCAGATTTGTGGCTGCGATGTCGAGCTTAGACTCGCGAGTGCCTAGCCAGGGCCCCGGGCTTCATGTGTAGATCTTCATTCTGGGCTTTTGGGGTTGAAAATGTGGGGCCGCTTTGTCCGCGCAAGGCTTGGGACGTTTCATCAAGCACTGGGCTTCCCAGTGGTGTCCTCAAGCCGCAATCCGAGACGCAGAGGAGAGGGAGGCTTCTGAAGCTGAGGCGGCGGATTAACAACCGCTCCGAGGGGACGTTGAGCACCTACACCCTGATACTGCCAGGGCCATAAGTTGATCAGAATTCCCAAGTTCTTCATGGCCAAAAGGGGTCCTCTTCTGCGAGGCAGCTCTTCTACTCCCTCCAGGTCCGCGATCCGCCCGTGCTGCCGCGCGTGGCCTGCATGCTCTCCCAGGATGTGAGCCTCCCTCAGAAGGGGCATTTCAAGATCTCAGACTGGCGGTTTGGGTGAATTGCAGACGAAGCCGAGGATGGGCGAGATGAAAGAGAGTGAGGACTCGAACTCCGATGTCACGAAGGCTCCGGAGAGCTTGCCCTCTTCAGACTCCATGACCCAAAACTCCATAACATCTGAAGGCTTAAATCCTGACAGTTGAGCTCATCAGGAGCGTTGAGCGGGGCTGAAGCCATAATAGGCTATCAACTGTCTCCATAGCCCTGAGAGCGAGGCGCAGTACGAGAAGCAAGCAACTGGGAGAGCGAGCCGATGATGGGTGCACGGCTGTGGTCGCGGTTTCTTTCGTGTTTAGACTGCAACTTCATTCCGCGTGGAACGTGGTGACGTGATGAGCGAGCCACGATACTCTAATCATTCTGGTTGCATGGCTTCCGCTTAAAAGCGTGCGCAGATGCCGTACTGCAACACCCCTAACCTAAAACGCCTGAACCCACACTCTGTTTTTGCGGAGGCAGCACCGAAGGCGGTCAACGACCTACTTTCTGCGCCAGAGATGGCACCACCGGCCGGATTGAGCAACAAGGGCCTCGGTTCTTTTAGCCATGAAAGGATTCCGGCGTTGGGCTTCAGGACTTAAGAGGTCGGTCGGTCCACGGGCGACGAGGCTAGCGATGAGGGCCTCATGCGTTTTGTACAGTATCAGTCCGAGACAACGCCTCAGTGAAATTAAGCGCCAAATTTACGAGCCGACATCAAACAAAGAGTGGCTTCGAATCCAACGGCGACAGCAAGATTGTGGTGCTTTGTGCGTGGGCATGAATTTGGAGTGCGCAAACAATAAAGCAGAAGTTGCAGGCGTGTGCATATCTACATCTCCATCTCTACCTCTATCTCTATATCTCTGTATAGTAGGTCCTTGTATATCCATGTCATGTTTGTTACATCTCGTCTATTCATCTTTCTAGCTATCTTTTTCCGATCTATGGATCCATCGATCTGTCTACCTATCTAATTATCTAATTATCTAATTATCTATCTGTCTATCTGCCTATCTATGTATCTGAATATATATATATATATATATATATATATACACACATACATACATATGCAGGCAGACAGAGGCGTATCGACTTACATTGGGGTGCACTGCCTTACAATGCAGAAACATTTACGTGCATCTACGGAGGAGGAGGAGGAAAGGGAGAGAAACAGGGAGCGATTTAGGAATGCGGTTCGCTGAGAGACCAAGTGAAAGAGAGATGTATACAGGAAAGCCAACATGCACACACGTATATGCATGCATGTACGCACACAGAGCATGCGATGTGCATACACATGTGTGTTGTGCATGGGCAAGCATGGGCACGCGCAATTTATGCATGGTTCATGTGCAAAGGGTGTGTTGGTCTGTGTGTCCGCACGCATGTATGTGCATGTAGCTATGTCTCCACGTGCATATGTCGCCCATTCACGCATCCACGGCTTGAAATCTGAGGTGTGCATGTTCCTTCAAGTATGTCTGAATAATCCATATCTGTATCTACGTGTGCATCTGTGTATGTCGATTAGTGATTAGTGCAGATGTGACCTTCCTTGTACTTCCCGCGGCCTCAAGAACACTATACCCCGCATAAACCCCGAAATCCTGCACATCATAAACAGTGAAACCGCTCCATATTTATCGATTTGGAAAAGTAGCGGTCCCGTCGGCATCTTTACTGTTCCGATGCCTGCCTGGTACTGCCAGGACGAGGTTTCTGGAGAACTGCGCTCCCTGCCGGGAGCTTGGCCCTGAACAGCGAGCGCCCAAACTACCATAAATATCGGCCTACATAATTATTACGGTTTAGGGTTTAGGGTTTAGGGTTTAATTACCAATAGTATTCCTTAGTGTTCCCCTTTATGTCTAGACAATTCTTACTTTGACTCAAGACCCTGTTCTTCTTGTTGAGGCCACTGGATGATCGGTTGCATCCTGTGAGGGCCCGGAAGTTTCGGGAACTGAGGCCCTTCCTCGCGGATCCAAAGTTGATCAAGCAGGCGAGACTTGCGTCTGGAAGTACAACGGTTTTAGGGTTTGGGGGGGTTAGGATATCTATTGGATTTAGGACTAGGATGTAGACAATGTAGACCTACATGTAGATGTGGATGAACATGTCCGTTTGTCTCACATATTTATCGCTGTGTACATGCGTATGCAGGTCATGCAGACACCTACGTATAGACATATGCAAGTATGTAGTACCAATCAGTACTACTGTGTGAGTTCATGTTGTGTGTAGATGCATAAACGAGTAGCTGGCAACCTCCACGTAATCGGCGAAGTGTACATAAGCTGATCAACAGAAACAAACAAGGACAATGAATGACTGCAGCTATGAGCAAGCGACGGATCAACGAACGGACAAACGAGCGAACGAACGGCTACACACGCGACACAACATCTTTCCTGTACGTGTGGAGTCTTTTAAACTTGGGTATGCGGAAGAGATCCCAGTCTTTAAACTGCCATGAAGCGCTTGAGACACCTTACACTTTCACCCACTCTCTCCATTGGCCTCGCGAGCCTTTGGAATCTTGTTCGAGGGCGTGCAGCCGAACTTCCGAATCAAGCTCTGATCTGCTCGGGGCACACACAGTTCCTCCCATGACGGAGTGACAGATGCAAAGAGCTTGGTTCTAACTTTACTTTCAAGGGTATGCAACTGTCGGGAAATGCTTAGGCTTGAGACACGTTACACAAAGCAATCAAAAGCCTATAAAACAGCGCCAGAAGAAGAGCCGATCCGCACCAGGACGGCCGGTTCCCAACGCTTCACAGGAATGAGGCAGGGTGAGGGTTTTGGGCACAGGTTGCGGGTGAGTTTAGGGAGTTTGGGCTTCAGATTGAAGGGTTCAAGGTCTGAGGATGACGGGAAGGAGTCAGCTCGGAAGCTCCCCCAAGACTGACCTGATTGAAGCCGGTGGTCACCCCAGAAAGTCTCAGAAGTTTCGAGATTGAGCTCCTCCCAGAGCCTTGTCGGGAATCCCAAAGTTCCAAAAAAACCCTAAACCCTAAACCCTAAACCGTTGCAGGAGAGTCTTGGAGACTTGCTGCTGTCCTTCTTCCAGCTTTGGGGCAAAGAGGAACCTCGGAGCTCCAGCAGCACATGCAGCCTAGCTTCTTCGGATCTGTGTCGAGCCGCTGACGTTGAGATCGAGGTTTCTTGTTGGCTTTCGTGCGCTTGTCAGGATGTCGAGCTTGTGGCCTCATGTTTCCTTGTCATTCCACTTGGTCACGCCTTTGAAATACACTTGTTGAAGTCCTCAAGCGCCGCAGCCATTGGTTTGACTGTGGCTGAAGCCGAAACCTTGCACAACCAACACCCAAACCTGTAAGAAGCGTGTCAAGCATTGGCATCGCCAGTTCGATGCAGACACAAGGCGACTGCAACTTCCCGAAACTCGACTGCACCCCCCAAGCTTCACGCCCTGTACGCCGCTCAAAGCCAGCCGAATGCGCAATGAAGCGTTTCAGCCAGCCAGCCCCCAAAAGCCCTGCTGGAAAGCCCGGGATTTCCGAATGTGGCGCCATGTCAGCAGAACTTCCCGTGGTAGGCTACGAGCTTGTTCCAGCAACCCGCTGGGGCTCCCATCACAGGCGCGGAGCTTTGAGGGTTGTAGCCGGAATCGCCTTTTTTTTTCCGGGTGGCGGAGGTGGGAGCCTGGTGGCCAGGGCAAGGTCAGGCGTTGAGCTCCGAAGGATTCCGAAGGGCACACGCTGGAGTGGGTCTTTTGATGAACACAACCTTTCCCGACATGCCCATCCCCATCTGCAAAGGAGTCTTTTTGCAGCACTCCACTGTGTGAAGATTGCCTCTTGCTGGGTTCTTTGGAAGATTATTACAAACCCCAGAGCCTCAGAAGACCCAAGACGAGCAGCTCCTTGAAGCCGCAGATCCCTCGTCGCAGGTCTTCGAGGCGCGATCCGAGGCCCCAGAGCCCAGCAAAGCTGGGAGCTTCTGCTTCTTTTCGAGTGATTGGGCGGACATGCAGCTGCCGACGACGCACCGCCTCTCGAGTCGTTTAACAGCGGGGCCGAAAGGGGGGCTGAGGGTGGTTTCAGGATGGTTTCAGGGCTTTTTAGGGCCGGTAAGTACGAGTATAGTATGAAGGCCCCGGCTGGGAACGTCGGTTTCACCCAAGGTTATGAGGTGCTTTGATGGAGCGTTCCAAGACGACTCCCTTATCGGTTCATCATAGTGGTCATCGTGTTGCTCTTTTCACCGATTCATCTCCACGATTAATCATGTTCATGAGTTCATCACCTTGTCGGTATCTTGTTTTGTTCTCATTTGTATCGTTTTGACATTATCACTATTTGCAGCTGCTCACTGTTTCCATCATTCCTTCGAACAAGCGATGCGATTTCCAATCACGAGCGACAAGCTGATGGGACAATGCTGTGACAGCGACAGAGTTCACGAGCAAACGGAAGCTCCAAAGAAGAAGCGCATGACAACTCAGTAGTTGCAAGGTTTCATGGCGTCTGCATGCCTATGACCCTGATGACTGTAAGGATTCCCGATCGACAAGTATCGGATGACGAGGGAGCTGCTGGAGGAGGCCGGCACTCCAGTGCTCGCAGGTCCTTTGGCAACTTCTTTGACATGTAGTCATTCACATCTCCTTAGCGCTCCTCTACAACGTCCTTTAGTGCTATATAGCATAATGCACCATATGTACCCCAAGGTCCTTTGGCCACTTTTGAGGAGGCTTCTTTGGCCCACTCGGAAGCGTACGTTCGGAGCATCTTCTTGGGCGAGGCCACGGATCAGATGCGGCGACGTGTCGGCTTCAGGGAAGCCCCGATGGAGGCCTAACTAACGAAGGTTTTGTGAGTTTAGGGTCGAGGGCTTCCGGTGTTTTGAGATGTTTAGGGATTTGGGTTTGTTGTTGGATACCTTGGGTTCAGGGTGTGATGTAGGGCTTGGATTTGAGTGGGTTTTGTGAGGCCTACGTGCTCCGAACGTTGGCGAGCCTTGGTGCGACTGTGGCTGCTACACGCCACTGCCTCAGCAATGGAGTTTGGAGTGGCGCCGTGTCTGGAGGCACGCATCATGCTTTTGCCGACTCCGGCGAGGGGTTCTGTGTATTCAACGATATTGCTGTGGCGGCCCGCCTCGCTCAGCGCGAGTTTCAAGTGACATCAGTCCTTGTCATAGACCTTGATGTGCATCAGGGTAACGGAACGGCGGCAATCTTCCACGACGATCCTTCCGTGTACACGGTGTCTGTGCATCAGAAGAAAGGCTACCCCTTTTCGACGCGCTGTGCCTCCGACCTGGAGATAGACCTGCCTGACGGCTGCGACGACGAGGAGTTTCTTCAAGCTCTGATGCCACTCCGGGACCTCGTCGCTCAGAAAGGAGCCTCCGAGCAGGTCAGGCTTTCGATATTCGGGAGCAGTCTGAGTTCGGTCCCATAGTTGCTGTCCAAAACAGAGAGCTGGCAATGATGAGTAGCCGAGGCACGCCCAGCCCCCAACAGAAGCCGCATTTACAAGCTCTGGCGCAGACAAGCAGTCAAGTACCATTTCTCTCCTGCGGAAACCGGGAGAGGTGGGTTAAGCAGGGTTCCGTGGTCCGAAACCCCCCTATAAACCTTAAACCCTGTATAAACCAACAAAAGCTTGGAACAGTCGAGCTCGAGGAGGGAGCCATAGCCTCCTCATCTACCAGGCCGGCGTGGACGGCCTGCAAGGGGATCGCTTCGGACGCTGGGCACTCACACGCCGAGGCCTACAAAAGCGGAACGCTTTCCTCTACTCCCTGGCTTGTGAGTGCCAGGTGCCGCTACTTATCACAATGGGAGGCGGATATCACAAAGACATCCGAGAGACTGTGCGTGCCAGTGCTGACGTGTACCTTCAGGCTGCCGAAGCCTGGGAACAGTGCTCGCAAAAGATCTCAGCGCTTCCGTGTGATGCAGAGCTTTCTGAACTTGCAACGGCATTCCCCTTCTGGCCCTGGGTTCACCTCTAGCTACGAACTTCAAGCTGGGAGTCTTGAGCCGAAATCTCTGAGTTCTGAAAGAAAGCGGCTTTTCGACCAAGAATACCAGGGTGCCCTTCGGCGCCAAAGGGACTTAATCATACAGGGACTTTTTTGTTTCGGCCCTGCCAAGGTCTGATGTTGAGTCAGTTTTGCAATGCGGCCTGGCCGCCACGCATCTTCCAAGCTCAAAGACCTCCGTAGTATAGCCCAAGTTGGGGGGTTTCAAGGGCCTACGTTAAAGCCGTGCATGGGCGGTGTGCCCAAACACTGTCAGGAGTTCCGTGGCGGCGACGATGGAAACGGGCAGACCGTGTACGTGTATGATGCTTCCCAGGTAGGGTTCATAGGTTGGTTTCAAGGTTTGCTGCTGGGCTGTCGGATTTCAGAAGGGCCTATCTTGTTTGACCCCCTCTCCCTCGTTTCGGAAATCCTTTGCGTTGTTCTTGACCCCCCTCCTCTCCCGTTTCTGCGTGGATCCTGTGGCAGCCCTATGCCAACCGGGACAGCAGAGGAACCGTTCGAAAGGGATTGTGGGAAATGCGAGCAACTCGCTCGAAAGAAACTAGAGAAGTTGAGCAACAGGAGCAAACGGTTCGAGAACTCGACAACAGCATCCGAAAAACTGCAAACCACTCAAAAGGGACTGGAGCTTATCTCAGACATGCTTGCAGCAGCAAGCACACCTTTCGAAAATCACGAAAGCATGTGGGAAACAGGAGCAAGCCGCTCGAAAGGGACTGAAGCGTTCGAGAAACGGTAGCAACCGTTCGCAAGGGATTCAAGCATTTCACAAGGAACAAGCCGCTTTGAAGGGAATAGAGCATTTGACAAACGGGAGCATGCTGCAGAAATAGGAGCAAACCGGTCGAAGGGGACTAGAGCACAATTGAAAAACATGAGAAAACCGCTTGGACATTTGAGGCAGCGGAACACTCCGCTCGACGGCCATTATGCAGTTGTGACACTCGGACAATGGGCTCGAAAGAGACTAGAGCAGTTGAAAAAAACGGTCGAACGTTTTGAAGAGGACAAGCACTCGAGTCAATGGAACACATCGCTCCAAAGGGACTCGAGCTTTGGAAGAAACAGCGAATGCGCCAGTCCCTTTCGAGCCTCGTCTCATAAATGCTTCACGTTAGTCCCTTTTGAGCGGTGCGGCTGCTCATTCTTCAATGCTCTAGTCCCTTTCGCCCGGTTTGCTCCTATTTCTCAAATGCCCTGGGCCTCTTGCTCCTTTGTCTCACATGCGTTGATCCGTTTCGAGCGGTTTGCTACAGTTCGAGCCACGGCTCGGGTCACTTTCGAACCATTCGCCTCTGTTTCTCAAACGCCCTTACCCTTTCCAAACGCTTTGTTTCTTTTCTCTGTAGAGCCGTTGACCAAAAGAAGCACCCCGCTCGAAACAGATTACAGCTTTTGAGAATCAGGAGCCAACTACTCGAAAGGGATGAAGATATTTCAGAACAAGGAGCAACATGCTCCAAAAAGATCGGGGCCTTGGAGAAAAGTGCAAGCAGCAGCCACTCGAATGGACGCGAGAACTGGAGAAAAGGGGGCAGACCACGTGAAAGGACTAGCATGTGGAAGACAGGTGCCTTTTTGAGAAAGACTGAGAAAAGCGCTCGATAGCGGCTAGAGCATTCAGCAGCAAAGGCCGCGAAGGGGACTGGAGCATTTCAGAACTGGGAACAAACACTTGATAAAGGACTAGAGTGACTAGAGCAGTTTGGGGAGGAGGTCAGGGTGTGCTCTCGTCTTGCATGTCATTTCAGAAGCGCTCGGGGAGCAAAGTTTAGACCAAGACACTGGCCAGGAGGTGAACGACCTCGGAGTTCTGGTGATGAGGCCACCTTTCGGTTGTGTTGGGTTGCAGCGTGGTAGGGTTTCAGGATTTAGGGGGCTTGTCGCCGTCTGTCTGCTTTGCAGGTGTCCGCTGACGGGGAAGAATGTGAATCCGTTCACGACGATGGTGCCTCACCAAGTGACGTTTCGTGTAGGAAAGACCCTGGGTTTCGGATCTCGCGATGTTGGATCAGAACCCCTGGACAGGTTTGGCGAGCCATTCACGCGGAATTCGCACGCGCAGCGACGCTTCTAGAACAAGGCGACACCGCTCTGCTGCACCTGGATACGGTGTTTCTGAAAATCATCGGGTTCTCTTCGGGGTTCCGTGGACTCCCTACTCTTCGTGTTTGTATTTCGGTCCCCAATTTACGTGATGCAGTTCCTTGTCTTTCCCCAGAAAACGGTTTAACATGGAATCGCAGGCTTCCAGTCAAGGGGCTGGGCATCTAGGATTCAGGGTTTGGGGCTGTTCGGGTTGAGGGTGGGCTGTAGGGCATCGGGGGTTTTCCATGGGCCTGTCCACTGACTCTGTGCCTGCCTGGTTCCCTCAGGTAGTAGTGCTGATTGTGTTGGACCTCTGCTACTGAACTGATCTCACCCGCCGGTGCTACAGCCCAAACTAAACAAACAACCCTAAATTACCGCAAACCCTGAGCCAACCTGCAAACTTCAACCCAAAGGGTGAAACCCCAAAAACCTCGTCTCTGTAGAGCTTTCTTTGAAAGCAGAAACCATACATGAACCGTAAATTATAGGGGCTGAAATAACCACCAACACTTCTTTGGGGGCTCTGGTTTATATTTATAGTAGAATATACCCCAAAACCTAGGAAAAATTACGAATGTCGCCCAATACCCTTTTCTAATTTAGAACATACTCCAAAACCCTATTCTAATTATTAAGGCCCCTACATTACCTTATAGGAACCCCCATTAAGGGATCCGCTTCTTAGACCATCCCCCTGTATGATGCCCCCCAAAAAACAAATAATCCACTGGCAGGATGCTCCTTGGAGGAGCTTTGCGAGCCCGCAGAGGCAGGAGTTGGCTTTCATGACGGGGAGACTAAGGTTATGTAAATTATGTATGTGTATATATATATATATATACATATCTACATACATACATGTAGAGATGCATATATGTAGATATGTGTACATGTGCATATATGTGTATATGTACGTTTGAGTCAGAAAGTTGAGTATCCATGGTCATCAGGGAGTTCTGCAGCACTCCGCAATTCAAGTTTGGCCGCATTTCATTGCCCTAACAAGCAACGGTGAACGACCAACCGTGCAGCGAGACTAATTTACTTGCACAGCCCCAAATCCTATCATCAAAACAGAAGCTTAACTTATCAGCAATGCCATTTCGACTATTCCTCAGGGCTGGTTGTTATGTATCTGAGACAGCAACTCCAAGCCCCAATCTGAGTGTTATTCAGACCCCCGTATTGCGGCAGCATCAGTCCGTGTCTAGACCTGTGCAGAGATTGGGTTTGTCATAGGCGTGGTACTTCCTCGAAGCTTTAAAGACTGTGGTACACACTGTGGGTTCTATCGGAGTCTATCGTTCAGTGTCAGTGGAAGAGACTTCGTTGAGCTAGCCGCGTGGCCGCCAGCGGCCTGCACGTAACAAGGTTCTTCCCCCGCACGCGGCTCCTGCTGCGGCACGGTGCAGATTTTGTGCTCATGTCCTCTTTGTTACTTGCACAGGATCATGGTGGAAACGGCTCCAGATTAACTTTAATTGACTGCCAATACATGGAGCTTGCGGCATCGAAACCCTGAATCGCGCCAATACTTGGGGGAGATCATTCTGCCCTTCATACTGAATCGCGCCAGTACTTCGGGGGGGAAGAATTTTTGGTCGTACTCCAGAATCCTACAAAATGTTGTGCAGTATTGAAGAAGGGAAATTTTGACCGTGGTCCTAAACGCAGCAAGTATTTGGGAAAAGCGTTTCGAATCCCTGTATCCTGGTCGTCTCCTCATGCTTTCTTGGTGGTCTCCTCGTGGTCACCTTGTTGTCGCGGTCGTCCTGGTCGTAGTGATCGTCGTGGTGGTCCTGGTGGTGTTAGTGTCGTGGTCTAAACGGTCGTCATGGTCGTTGTAGCGCTCTTTCGTTGCGTGGGGATGTACGCTGGTATAAGTGACGGATCAGCAAGTTTATTGGTCGGTCTGCTTCGGCTTGTGTTGACCAGGGCATTACCCCGATACTGTTTACACGCTTTTAAGTTCTGCTTGGCCAGGGTCTGCCAGCCGGCTGCGGTGGGGCCCACCGAGGAGGAGGTCTGGGTCCCTCGGCGAGCAACGACGGGGTTTATACAGGGATTCATTGACCTTGTTGTTGTGTAGTACTGTACTTATACTGATACTATGGCTTCGGTTTCATTTCTGTGAAAACGATGATCGATGCACTGAATGAGTTCTGCTCATGTTCTGTGCTCATGTTCTGTGTTACGAAAATTAGATTTCAATACGAAACCCTAAACCCTAAACCGATTTCAATACAAAACCCTAAACCGATTTCCCTCCCAAACCCTAAACCGAATGTGTGCCAGGGTTCGGTGTTCTGGGCCGAGGCGCGGAAATCGCGGCAAAACTCCTGGGCCCCGCGGAGAGTGGATGGGATTGGCCAGTCGAAAAAGGTCTCTTCAGGGTTCAGGGATTTATGATCTAGGCTTTAGGGCTTGGAGCTAAGGGTTTACGGTTGAAGGTTCAATGGTGTAGGAGCAAGCATGGGCCAACCCAACACCTCACATCCCATACTCCCCTCTACAGTTTCACACCATCTCTCAACCCGCCTAAGAAATCCACCCTTCCAAAACCACAATACACAAGCACCTCCTACGTCCCACACCAAAATCCCAAATATAATTTAAAATCAAAGCACCTCCCAACACAACACCAAGCCCCAAAGCACAAAACAAAATCCGAAGTCCTAACCCCACACCTCACATCCTATGCTCCCCCCTGCACTTTCGCACCCCGCCTAAGATTTCAACCTTCCAAAACACCAAAACACAAAGCACCTCTCAAATCCCACACCGAAAGCCCAAATACAAAGCCAAAGCACCTCCCAAGTCCCACGCCGAAATCCCAGATACACAAAGCACCTCCCAACACAACACCAAACCCCAAAGCACAAAGCAAAAACCCGAAGCACCACCCTGATGCCACATCTCACACCCTATACTCCCCCCCTACACTTTCACCCCATTTCTGGAAGCCGTCTAAGAATTCAACCCTTCAAGCCGACAAAACACGAAGCACCTCCCAAAACAAATGCAATTATCCAAAAAACAACCCTGAATCCAAAGCACCTAACCACAACCAACACAAGATCCAAAATAGCCACAGCAACGGCCATACCCCGGAAAAGTGGAGGGCAGGACGCCGTTGCGTTAAAACGCAACATATCGGCTCGCAGATCTGTAAAGAGAGAGCTGACCACGTTTTTGCTGCGCTTGCAGCCAGACCCCCTAAGCACAGTCCATGCGCAAGCCACTCAGCCCTGAACCCAAGCCGACCCAGTAGTACTTACCCCACGCCATAATTCTGAGCTGTTGAAGAAGCACTGGGAAGATGAGCGCTTCGTCCGCAGATACATACGTCCACGCCTTGGAACTCACAGGTGGCTGCGACTGGCAGTGTATGATGAACGTTTGGGGAGGGCCGGGGGCGTTCCTGAAGCCCGATGCATAAGCAGAGTAAACCCGCCAGATAGAGCCTGTTTGAACCACTATACTTTCAGCTATACTTTAAGTTCAAGGGCTTGAAAGGAGTGCCGGCTCGTTGATCGAAGCGAAAGTCGATCTGATACCTTGGCATATCGGGGTTGATTACAAGCAGGTGTCTTTTTATCCACTATCCTGTGACTTGCGGTCTAGTTTTGGGACCCCTTGTTGTCTGAGACCCACCTATCCGAAGCTGCAAAGCCCAATGATCCGCAAAGGTGGTGAAGAAGTTCTTCTCCAAAGAGTACCGTAACTTAGAGGTCGGAAAAAGGAATACGAATATAGATATAGTATCACGGCAATCTCATATCATTCTTTTTCAGCTTAATGTAGACCAGGCGCAAGGTGGCAACCCACTACACCAATGGTCGTGAGTGTTATGTGAAGCTGTCAGGTTTCTTTGAGGGGTCTAGAGTTTAGGGCTTCAGGGTTTCAGGGTTTGGGGCTTTTAGGGTTTCAGGTCTTCAGACTTCAGTGCTTATACGGTTACGACAAAGGCAATGAGATGATTTAAGCACTTGGATTTCGTGCGTTGTTCAGCGCATGGTCCTCCAGCCCAGCGATGGCGTGAGTTTAGGGCTTAGGGTGTAGAAACCTTAAGCCCCACGCTCCACACGCTGCATCCAAGCTCTCGAAAAGAGCCCGAGAAACTTCAGAACAACCAGTACACACTACGACTTACACACCTTGGCAAGGCGACTGAACAAAGTGTCTGGTTCCTTTAATGTTTGCGGTGTGTGCTTATAAAAACACATGAATAATCCCTTCCCCCTACTGTAGTAGTAATCAGGAGGGGGGAGGAAAGTGTTTTCAATATTGGGGTGTATTTATATCTCTACTGCCACTTTTGAGGGGTTGTGCCCTTGCTCCGCTCGTTCTTTTGATCCCGAGCTAGCTTTTGCTCCTGTGCTCCTGCTCTTGCTCTTACTCCCGCTCTTGCTGTTGCTTTGCTCTTGCCGCTGCTCTTGCTGATGCTTCCGCTTCTGCTCTTGCTCCTGCTCTTGCTCTAACTCCTGCTCTTGCTCTTGCTGTTGCTCTCACTCTTATTGTGCTCTGCGGGTACTTGGAGCCTCGAAACCCTCCCCCTAATTCGGAATAGATTGTAAAGGGCAGTGATAATTTCGGGAGGATTCGCCCCAGTGTGTGTTTTCATGATTAGGGTGTGTCTAATGAAAGGGGGAAGGTATCATATACATCTATGCATCTATATATACATCCATACACCTATGCGTCTATGCATCTATGCGCATACACATGTGCAAAAGGTATGCATATATATATATATATATATATACATGTTATATATATATATATATATATATATATATATACATACACATACTACACATATGTGTACATGTACATGTGTAGATGCGTGCGAGACCATGAGGTTTGAGTCGGCCGCTTACGGCGGGCCACGCCGTCGCACGGAAAGAGTTGGCGGCCGAGTTGTTTGCTTCGGATGCGTCTAGGCGTACAGGGGGTTCTGGGCGGCTTTAGGGTTTAAAGGTTTCCGGACGGCTTGGTTTCAATCTGCCTTTCCAGATTCAATTCCCCTGAATATTTGGCGAGACCTGACAGGCAAAGGGAGGTTTTGATATCGCAGCATAGGGACGTGAGTAGCAGGAGAATTTGACAGAAGCATCCCAGGATGCTTGGGCTCGCATGTGGTGGCGATGATGCTTTGCTGAAGGCTGCCCGTGAGTTTGAAC